TGTTTGTGGCTTCGGCAAAACAAGAATCGTATCCAGCAGAGCGAATTTTTTTTCCCCCTTATTACTGTATTCGAAAAGTAACTCGCAATTTCCAGGACAATACTGGTGTACAACAGTGAAACCTATCAACGATTGGAAGTTGTTGAGTTGCTCGTCTCAAGCCCACTTGTTGGTGTTACCGGAGATGATGGACCTGTTCGAGCACAGATTGAGCCCTATTTCGATTCGGTCACCGGTGAATTCAAAGGAAATTATTTGGTTCGGAGATTTTATGAGTTGCATTATTTGTTCTCACAAAAAGACAAAACACTAACCACCATAGTCAACAGTCCTGCTGGAAAAGAAAAGGCCTTTAGACCTAGAAGACAAAAAATGAAAAACGAAATAACATTTGCAGAATCTTCGGCCAAAAGCCTTACTCAATAAAATTAAAAACACAGCACTCATGTGAGCCATTTATTTCAGCTGGTATTTTTTGCATTTTTAAAGCCACTGTCTATCGGCCGCTATACCATTCAAAATGACGAAACAAAGTTTACCGAAATTGCCGAAATTTTAACAGTCTCGAAACAGACAAGGATGAAAAACGCCATCTCGAAGTGTGATTTAATTTAAAAATTTGTTTTTTTTTAAATTTCCCTTTCAAAACAACATGATATTAATTTCGGTAACCATCTTTGGCGAGCGCAGGTTTGCTGTAGAACTTCAGTTTATTACTCTGACCAACTACTATTTATCATCGCGATTTTTTCGCTGTTAATGCAGCTGGCAATTTCTCCATTCATCTCAGTTTTGGGTCTTTTCCATCTACAGGATACCGTATAAAAGTTGCAGCGGATGATCGTTTTCGTAGCGCTGGCAGACTTCTCTGCTCTCTTTTGTTGTCCCGGGTACCAATTGTCATAACCAAAGTCATAATAAAAGCAATTATTTTATTCAGCTACCTAAACCAAGTCTTTTTTCTAGGAGAGCTGATTTAGTTCGTTGAGAAAGTTAAGGTGTCAGGCCTTCGATCCAGGATCTCCACCCACTGCCTGTCCGAGATGTGGGGGCCAACTTTTTGGTGCTCGCATTAATTAAGCTCACCGTAATTTGCTTGCAGATATTTTCACGTCAGTATTGTGAGTAAGAGCGATTTCCAGCTTCGCACACAACAAATGACCGTTCTACTGGATCCTAAAAATGGTCTGCTGAATGTATGTCTTACCGTCCGCCTAGTTTTTCATAGAATATCAAAATTTTTTTTGGCTGTCAGCATGGATATCCCCTGTTAGTGATATTACTGGGATGCTCCCGAAGCAATTATGCCAGGCCCTTCCGTTTTGGGTTGCAGACCTTCAGGCAGTGCTAGGATATTTAAAGTGCCAGCAAACCATTTATTAACTTCCTGCTAGCCAGTAGACAACCCCGGGCAGAAAGGCCCCTGCATGAGCACGCTCGTCTCACAAAGCATTAAGAAACCTGTAATCTGGCTGTCTTTTTTTCATTACCCACACCTTGCAACTGGGAAAATGAGCTTATGAACATGGAAAAAAAATGTCGACATAAACAGTAATCAAGAAAATGAAAGCGCATACTGTTTTCCCTGAATCTTATGCTAAGCAGCATGACTGATATTCTCAAAGTATCGAACCGGAAGGATCGTACTGACTTTTTGATACCGCTGTGCTAAAAACACTGATGCACGAAAGAAAACAAAATTCGATTTGCGCCACACTTTGCTTGCTTTATTTGCTGAGCCTGTAGGCGCAGCTGTAACTGTTGATACTTATCAGAAGCTGGTACTGAGGGAAAAAAGGTGAATCGGA